TTTTAGAGACTGCCCACAACCACCCCTCCGTGGCGCGGCTGCCAGCCGGTCTGGCCGCTGGCTTACCCAGAGCCCCCCAGCGAATGTGTGCTGCAGCCCACCAGGCTCTAGATCACCCTAGATCAATGTTTTTGGAATGAATGAATCAGGATTTACCGATGGGGAATCTGAGAGTTGTGTTGACTAACTTGGGTTAGATCACTGCACCAATGACAGAGCCGAGACTCAAAAATGATGCCGTCTTCACAGAGGCAGAGCCTTCAATTTCATACTGTCTCAGAATTGTAGACTTTTTAAATTTTTATTTTAGGTAGAGATCAGGTCTCACTATGTTGCCCAAACTGGTCATGAACTCCTGGGCTCAAGCAATCATCTTTCAACCTCCCAAAGTGCTGGGATTATATGTGTGAGCTACCGCACTCGGCCTCATAGACCTTTTGTGAAATTTATTTTTATTTTATTTTTAAGTAAATAAGACAAGGTCTTGTTATGTCTCTAAGTCTGGTCTCGAACTCCTGGGTTCAACCAATCCTCGAGCCTCAGCCTCCCAAAGTGCTGGGATTACAGGCATGAGCCATGGTGCCCAGCCAGAATCATAGACCTTTAAAACTGAAGAAGGGGCCCTCAGAGACCATCCAGTCCAACCTACCTCATTTCACAGTGAAGATGTGAATTGGAAGCTTCACAAAAACACACAGCTACTAGGTTTCCTAGTATCTGTAATGCACACAAGGACCTATTCCCAGCTTCTAAGGGAGGAAAAAATCACGTTGTTTTTTTCCTCCCTTAGAAGCTGGGAATAGGTCCTTGTGTGCACTACAGATCAAGAGACAAAATGGAACAGTAATTATGATCCTGAAATTGCTCATAATTAGATCCACAGCCAAGCATTCTAACTTAGATTAATGAGACTGAGTTGAAGATTCCCAATAGTCCACAGGTCAGTGAAGGTTCAAGAGGTGCTAATTAGACCAGTGATTTTTTTTTTTTAGTTATTCATTTGGTAAACCGTTGAATGGCACTGCATGCACTTCTGACCTAGGCACTGTGGCTGGTGAAAGATTACTATATAGATGGATTTGTGGCTAAAAGCAAAAACTCTCTGGAGTCAGATTGCCCAGGTTGGAATCCCATCTTTGCCACTTGTGCGATGTTACTGTGGGCAAATGACCTACTGGCCTCTCGTGGAGTTTCAAATCTGTTGAAGATGAGATGTACATACATAGATCAGTGTAATACAAGGCAGATGGATGTAATATATGGTATGTGAGTTCAGGTGTGGGCAAGATACTCTTTCTGGAGAAGGGAGGAGGGCAGTCATGGGGGAGGTGGCCTTGGAGTCATTGAGAAAGAAGTAGGGAGCCGGGCTCGGTGGCTCAGCCTGTAATCCCACGCCTTGGGAGGCTGAAGTGAGTG